GTTTGTTTTGGGGCTTGTGATGGTTGCTTGAGAATGAAGGAGTGGTTGGACTAGGAAGTGGGTGGGGAGAAGAAGTGGAGGAAGCACCTAGGAGGGGCAGAAGCTGAAGTGGACAGGCCTGATGGGGGAGAGGGGGCCTGAAGGTGGGCGATATCTGAGTGGGGAGAGGAGCAGGGAGGCTATTCCTGCAGAGTAACCTCAGTCAGCCAGGGCAGAAGCTGTGGTGGGCCCAGGGGTGACTAGTTGGCCAGAGCAGAGGGTAGAGAAAGTGAGCACAGGATCCCACCTTGTGAACATACTCCCGACTCTTCCCTCACCCACTCCCAGAGCTGGGGGACCTTCCTCTTGTCCGCCTGGATTTCTCCTGTAACCGCATCTCCCGCATCCCAGTCTCCTTCTGCCGCCTCAGGCACCTGCAAGTCATTCTGTTGGACAGCAACCCCCTGCAAAGCCCGCCTGCCCAGGTGAGAGGTGGGCCTGGGGTGGACCCTGGGTACAGGGCTGAGATTGGGCAGGAGTGGGCAGTGGGTCCCTTTGATAGCCAAGCAGGATCTTCCCCCTAACTCCTCTCATGCTTTTTACACTTAGATCTGCCTGAAGGGGAAACTTCACATCTTCAAGTACTTGTCAACAGAGGCTGGGCGGCGTGGGGGTGCTGCACTGGGGGACCTGGCCCCTTCGCGCCCCCCGAGTTTTAGTCCCTGGTAAAGAAGGGCATGGGAAGGAAGGAAGCCCCTGAATTCCTAATGCTAATTCCTGGCACCAGGGTCCCCATGGTTTTCAGAGGGAGGGTGTGGGGGGTTGCTGCCCAGTATAGGACTGACCGGCTCTCCCTGGCTGGCCCCAGCCCAGCTGAGGACTTATTTCCGGGACGTCGATATGATGGCGGACTGGACTCAGGCTTCCACAGCGTGGACAGTGGTAGCAAGAGGTGGTCTGGAAATGAGGTAAGTGTCCCTTTCCAAGGGACATTGGCAGTGTCAGCTCTGGGGGAGAACATCTGAGCCTGGGGCCTTGGCCTTTTACTTCTGAATCTCAGAGTGACAGGTGGTGGCTGGAGCTGTCTTCTTCCTTCCCTCACCCAAGTGTCCTGAGGAAGGGCTGTCTCAGCGGCAGACCCCATGGCTCTGCACTCACGAGCCCCCCAGCACTACAGAGAAACCATCTTCCATCTTTACATTTCTGCATTTACAGTCAACAGATGAGTTTTCGGAGTTGTCATTCCGAATCTCAGAGCTGGCCCGGGAGCCTCGGGGGTCCAGGGAGCGGAAGGAGGATGTCTGTGGTGAGTGGTCAGGGGGCCCTGGGGCTGAGAGGGGTGGAGCAGCCTGAAGGCGCCACTCTGTGTGCTGACATGTCCTGCCTCGCCAGCTGATGGAGACCCCGAGCAGATTGACTTCATTGACAGCCACGTGCCTGGGGAGGATGAAGAGCGAGGTGCTGCCAAGGTGAGGGGCTGGCCCTTGTCTGTGTGTCCATCTGCTGTGGGAGGAGAGCTGGAGGGAGGGGCCGCTGTAGGCTTGGAGACCAGGTACTCCCTCAGCCCCTCTGCTGTTCTTTCTCCAGGAGCAGCGGCCACCAGAATTAAGCCCTGTGGCAGGGGACGGGGAGAGGGGACCAAGCAGCAGGTACCAGAGGCACCAGAGCCAGCATTTCCTCCCTTTGCTCCATCTCCCTACACCCTCTCTCCTCTTCCCTGACCTGCTCTACCCCTTGCATCCTGCCTTTGCCCCTCAGAAGGGAAGAGCTGGCTGGGGAGGAGCGGCGGCGCCCAGATACTTTGCAGTTGTGGCAGGAGCGTGAGCGGCGGCAGCAGCAGCAGCAGCAGCAGCAGCAGCAGAGTGGATTGTGGGGAGCCCCCAGGAAGGACAGGAGCGAGCCCAGCAAGTGAGTGGAAATGAGCCCTCCTGAGCTACTCTGCCCCCTTGGGGTTGGCAGCCCCCTGCCTGACTTTGCTGGCCTCGCATCTCCTTCATTTTCTAGTTTTCTGAAGCTGGGGGTCAGGGCTGCTGGTGGAGGTGCTGCTGCCTCGTCCACACAAGCCTCCTACAAGTATGTGTCCTACCAGACTCCACCGCCGCGAGCCTCTCCCTGCGCACCTTCCCGCTGACCATCCCCTCCGTTGCCCTTTCTCTCTCCTCAGCGGCGTGCCCAAGTCCAGTGCTGCCCAAGCGGGAGCTTCAGGGGCACAGGGAGCTTCTTCCCCTGCCTCAGCCCCCACCTCCCAGGAGCACCTTCCTATAGCTGGACCAGGTGTGATGGGGGCTTTGGGAAGAATATGGGGGCTTATGTAGGTGAGGGGTGGCCTGATGGAAGAGTGGGACAATGAAGGGATATCTTTTCACCTGCCTCTGGCCCTCCAGTGACAGCACCTGTTCCCCGGCCACTTGGCTCTATCCAGAGACCAAACAGCTTCCTCTTCCGTTCTTCCTCTCAGAGTGGTTCAGGTGGGTCTCCCCGTCCCAGTATTAACCCAGCAACCACCCAGTACTCACCCCTGGGCTGCAGTCACCACTTCTGGCCTGGGAATTCTGTGGTCAATTGTCCCTTTATGTTGAAAATCCCGTAAGCCACAGAGACAGGAGCTGTGGGTGCCAGACACTGCAGCCCAGACAGTCAGTGGGTGGTAGTGGAGACAGCTCACACATCCTCCTTTTCTCCAGGTCCCTCTTCACCAGATTCTGTCTTGAGACCTCGGCGATTGACCCCACCTCTGGACGAGAAGGAACTGACAGCTCAATTGCGTCAGGTGAGAGAGATGGGATCTGTGTGGGTGGGGCCTGGACTCGGTAGGACACCTCCTGGAGTTCCCTGGCATTCCTCATCCATCATCTCTACATCCTGGTGCTTTGGCTGAGGGTGGGGGAGGCAGATTGGAGTTCTCTGCTGGCTCTGCTATCTCCACCTCTCACCCCCTACCCCCACTTCTTTACCTGCCTTGCAGGTCCTTGAGTCGCAGCTGCAGCGGCCCCTGCCTGAGGACCTGACAGAGGCTCTGGCCAATGGTGTCATCCTCTGTCAGCTAGCCAACCAGCTGAGGCCCCGCTCTGTGCCCTTCATTCATGTGCCCTCACCTGCTGTGGTTAGTTGGTGTCCCAGATGGGAAGTAGGGAATGGAACAGGGGACTCCTACGGCCCCTCACTCTCTTCTCTTTTTCCTTTCTTACACATCCCCAGCCAAAACTCAGTACCCTCAAGTCTCGGAAGAATGTGGAGAGTTTCTTAGAAGCCTGTCGAAAAATGGGGGTGCCTGAGGTATGGGGGGTTGGTCTTTTCTATACAGAGTGGTGGCTTCCTGGGCTTAGTTGAGCCCTTTGCTGGGATGGCAGGGTTCCATTCACAGGCTGCGTCTGCTCCCCAGAAAGAAGCCCCTGTCCTGCATGCCTCCCCTCCCTGCATGCCCCCCCTCCCTGCACTCTGCATGTTGGTGTGGCTCTGGCCCTGGCATGTAAGGGCAGGGGGTGGAAAGGATTGTCTAGCTGCTACTGCTGACATCTGCCTTTGTCCTTGTCCATCTGTCCTACTCTCCCTTCCCAGGCCGACCTGTGCTCGCCCTCGGATCTCCTCCAGGGCACCGTCCGGGGGCTGTGGACCACCCTGGAGGCCGTGAAGTGGGTGGGGGGCAGGGCACCCCCACCTCTCTGGCCCCCCTCTGGTCTGGGTGGCTTCATCCTCTTCTACGTGGTCCTCATGCTGCTGCTCTATGTCATCTACACTCGGCTCCTGGGTTCCTAGGACCTGAAGTCTGCCCTCCACCACCACCTCGCCCCGTTTCTATTTATAAGACTCCTGTACAACCCCGTGCCCACCGGTGGTGCCTTCAGCCCCTACCAAAGACACTAGTGAACCCCCATCCCCTCACAGACACTGACCTCAGAGGCCCCACTCTGGATCCCCCAGACCCTGGGTCCCCAGCCTCTGGCTGTCCTCCTGTAGCCCTTCCCCTCCCAGTGCTGATGGTTACTCCATGCCCTCTCCCACCCAGCCCTGCCCTCTGCTCCCCCAGAGGGTGTGGGTCTTAACCTCCCTGTCTTCACTCTCCACCCCCAACCCCTACCCCAGATATAGGGGACTAAATTATCTATATTTTGTAGAGAGAACTCTATATTTGTAGGAGATGCAGGACCTAGGCTGGGTCCCTGTTTCTTGTATAAATGTACAGACCGTGGCTGCCTGTGTCTGTGTGTTTGCGTCTGCTCCTCCCGTGGCCAGGCCCAGTCCTGGCCGTGCTCATGGGGCTCTGTGTGCCAACCTGCCTACTCCAGCGCTTCCCTTTGGAAATGGTAGGTCTTCCCTCCACCCTGAGCCTCAGCCCCTGTGTCATCTTTGTTTTGTTATCTACTGGCAGCTTCCTTGCATCTCATTTGTCCCCAAGCCATGTCCAGGGTGCTCCTGACCTTCGCCTCCTACATTGTGAAGCCTGTCAGCTCCCTTTGACCAGGCTCCTTTAGGGTGTTTCCAACCCTGCCCCCTGCCAAGGGCTGGGAAGCCCAGAGGTGAAGATGTAAAGGGGGACTTAATCTGGACCCCTCCCCCCCAGGAGTCCCTGTGCCAGCCCCATCACATCCTGGAAGAGGAGGGGGCTCCAGGAAGGGGCCTCCCCCACATCGCTGCTGTCGTCCACGCACTGCTGGAACAGTCTTAGGGGTTGAGGTAGGGGGACAGGGCCACGACCAGCCTTGGGACCCAGGAACAGAGGACCACCACGCCTGGGCTCTGCTCTCCAGCAAGGACTGGTGAGGGGCGGCCTCAGGCCTGGCCCTGTTCCTCAGGCACCCCTTACCTAAGAGGTTGGAAGCAGGCCTGCCCAGCAAGACACTGGATTCCTGTGGGTGTGGCTGGAGGATATGGGGTGAAGAGGAGGCACTGGGTGTTGTGTCAAGTGCAATAAAGAAGCCAGAAGGTCTTGAAGTTGCCACGTGTGCGTATGTGTGTGTGTGTGTGTGTGTGTGGTGTTTGTGAACGAAAGCGGGAAAGGGGTCCACTGCTGGGTTCCAATGTGACGTTCACTCAGTGCCACTCACATGGAGCTGAAAGCAGGCGGGGCTACGCCGACCCCACCAACAGGGGGCGCCCGCAGAACCCCCAGCGGGAGCAAGCCACGTCGCCCGGAAATGCGCCAAGCGTCAGCGTCTCTACGAGGCCGTGCGAAGTGGGCGGGCAACCTGTGTTCCTGTGGACCAGCAGAAGGGGCCTGGCTGGGGGCCAGGGAGGGGCAAGGCAGGTGGGGTGGGAGGCCTGAGCAGCAAGGGGCACAGAAGTGCATGCTTGCCCTTCCCTCCCTCAAGACACGGCATGTTGCCCTGGTCCTCTCCGCGGTGGGACGGGGGTAAGGAGCAGGCGCCTGAGGAACAGGGCTCCTCACCATGCAGTGGCCCTGGCAAGGATTGGAACACTGGAGAGGAAGCCCCGGGGGGGCCAGGTACACCCCCACAGGACAGGTGAGGGGCATGCTGGAGGCACTCGAGGGAAATCCTACGAAGGTGGGGTCCCACCGTGTGAGGAAATCTCAGTGGTCCACACCAAACAATGGGTATGTTCAGTCTCCACTCACTAGGCACCTTTGGCCTTGCCATGGAAGTATTCACACCTGGAGGGGCAAGGGGGTAGGCTGTTACTGGGGCATCTCAGTACCTCCCCATCTTTCCCCTCCCAGCCCTCATTCCTGGTGCCCAGGGCCTTCTGGGACCCAGAGAGAAGAGCTGCTGGCCCCGTTCCCCTCAGGTCTGATGGCTGGGCAGTCCCCGGAAACCCCAGGTAGGTACTAGGCCTTGTCACCTCTACCCCTCAATACCCTTTCACTGACTCTTGAGCCTGTTTTTGTTTCTGTTTTGTTTTTTTAAGATTTTATTTTCAGACAGAGGAGGAGGGAGAGAGAGAGAGAGAGAGGGAGAGAAACATCAGTGTATGGCTGCCTCTCGTGCACCCCCTACTGGGCACCTGGCCTACAACCCAGGCATGCACCCTGACTGGGAATTGAACGTGTGATCTAGTTCACAGGCCGGTGCTCAATCCACTGAGCTACAGCAGCCAGAGTGAGCTAGTTTTAATTATGTCATACTTCCCCCCACCCCAGTTCCCCTTTTCCCTCAGATGGCCTGGGAGGTGGACCCCTCAAGGAGGACCCTACTGACACCATGGGACCCCAACTACAAGGCTAAAGCAGGACCTCAGCTGGCGTGGGTAAGTAGGGTGTACCTATGGCCCCAGCCACCGAGTGAGGCAAGGATGCTCTGGGAGGAGGCTGAATGGTGATCTTTTTTGTCCCTCCACAGGCACCCAGCTGTGCATCCGGTGCTTCCTTTTCGGGACGGACTTTGAGTCATCCCTCCTTTTGGCCACTGTATGATGCAGCCTTAGGCAGCGGCTGCAGGCCCCTGCCCACAACAGGACATCAGAGTGGTGAGCAGGTGCCCACGGATGCAGGTAACTTCCCCTGGTCCCCTCAGGCTGATGCTATGTGAACGCCTCAGGAACTGGTGCGGAGCTCCCTGTGATAGGAAGCCCACCCAGCCTTCATTCTAGCTCTTCTTCTCCCCAGGGTTCCCAGTGATGTGCGGTAGAGATGTCTTTCTTTCAGACCCTCTGCTGCCTGCTGGGCAGCGTGTTCCCCTGTACCTGTCTGAGGCCTCTCAGCAGGTGAGTACTCTTCCTGCCCTGGCCTCATCTCAGCCTTCATGCAGGGCTTGGGAGGAGATACTTCCCCCTCTTCTCTCCTCAGGTGATGGGCTCTCTGAAGCTGCAGCTCCCACCCCCCGTCATGTCGCCCTGGGTCCACCCGACCCAGTCACGTGGCAGCTCCACCACCTGGCTCAGTGGGCCTGAGCTGATTGCCCTTACTGGCCTCCTGCAGATGAGCCAGGAGGAGCCAAGACCTAGTTCCACTGGTTCCTCAGCAGCTCCCATGCCCCCTGCTGGTTCCCCAGACCCTGTCTCTGACCGTCCAGGCCCCACTGGTGGCCAGAGCTGTTCTCACTGCACTGACCCATCGCTTCCACAGACTCCAGACACTTGTTGCCCATAGCACCTCTGGGGACACAGTGGGCCCCTACTTTCTCATGCAGTTCTGTTGACAATAAAACAGTGTTTATTTGCAAATGGGCTCCTCGTGGTGGGTAACAGAATGGGATGCCCAGGCAGGGATGGGGTCTCTTCCTCCATGGCAGCTTTGGTTACCCTACCCTCAGATTCTCGTCACTCATTGGTCATCCCCTACAGTGGGGTGGAGGAATACATGGGTCTAAGACCTTTTCAGGCAGACCAAGAAAGGCACTTTTAATGAGGGTGTCCACAGTACAGTTCCCCAGACTGAGTATATAAGAAGCAAGGACTCCATCATCTCTGCCAGGCCTGGGAGAAGGGAGGATTGTGTGAGCATGTGGCTGGCATTGAGAGAGGCAAATTAGGAAGTAAGGGGGTGGCACATTACTTTTGGGGTATATTAGAGGTGAGTTACCTAGTGCTTTCACGCTTCATGTGCTGGGGTCCCAGAAGCTGAGCCTTGGAGCTGGGGGTTAGGTGTTTGGCTTGTTGGAGATACAGACAGGTACTGCAGGCGTGTGTAGGGTGGAAGGAACAGGTCCTCATGGGAGTCCTCGTCAGAGGCAGGGTGGTGGCCAAGGCTGACCTGAGACTCTGGATTGATGCTGCATAATTGTGCTGGGAAAAATAGAGGATTGGAGCTTTGGATGAGAAAGTCCAGAAGCTTGTAGGATTTTTTTGGAGGCGATGGTTCTAGAATTTTCTCTTTTAAAAGAACCCAACTTCTTGGGCAACCTCCTCCTGAACTTTCCCACAGTGAAGGGGGAGGAGCAGAGTAAACAGTTGACCCTAAAGGGCAGCTTAGCACCTCTGTAGTTCACATGTTCTAGGTGATGTCTGGGCCTTAGATGTGGGAATAGGTGGGAAGGCATTTCTGACTTTGCCATTTTTTTCTCCTTCCTCCACCTCACCATCCGTCAGCTAGACCTGGCGGGCTCTCACCCTTGCCTCCCTGAGGTTCTGGAACTCAGTTCAGGGGTAGCTGTGGCGTGGAGCACACTGGCCTTAGGAGTGCTGCCTCCTGTCTCCTGCCTCCTGAGGAAGGACCAGGTCCAGGTCAGTGTAGTTGAGGTGGCCATCTGGGGGGTCCGATATAGAGTTTCTAAGTAGTCCCGGGCCATGTCCTTAGTGCACATATACTCCCTGGCTCACTTGGACAGCATTTGCAAATAGGGCTGATTCCATGCTGGTCTCAAGCTCTCCCCAGTGCCCAATGAGGGTGGGCCCTGGACCCAGTGTTCAGGCTACCTGGTCCCTGGCTTGTAGGAATGGGGCAGGGAGCTCGAGGAAGAGGACCCTGGTGGGCGGGCAGTGCATGGGCACATAATCAGTGCCTTCCCAATCCTGGAGCAGCTGGTGGGGAGCAGCATTGGCAGCAGCAGGAAGGTGGTGGGGAGAAGGGTAGGAGGAGGTAGGAGAGGGTGTGCCATTACCAAGTATCCATTTGCTTCCCTCCTCACATGGGCTTGTAGTCACTTCCATCTCCCATGGGTATGTGGCTCCCTGCTCTAGCCTCTTGGGGAAAGAGTCTGCCATCCCCAGCATTCCAGGGTCTGGAGAGTGCTTCTTCATTTCTCTCACCCAGGCACTCCCCACAGCTCAGACATCTTGATTGGGCCCTCATGAGGTTGGGGACTGTGGGTCTGGAGTACCCCAGCCCTGCCATGGGCACCACCATCCCCAAGTCACTTCATGGCAGCTAGGACAGTCTCATGAATGCTTTGGGCCACCACTGGCATCCGACGCCTGTAGCCACAGCTCCCCAGAACCAGTGGGTGCCCAGGTGGCCATGTTCCAAGAAGGCTTCTGCATGGCTGCAGCAGGGCACACTGAAAAGCTACAGAAACAGGGCCAGCAGTGGCGGTGCCAGGGTGTCCCCGGAACCTCTGCCCCTCAGCTTCCACAGCAGGCTCAGTATCCCAAACTCAGTCATAAGGCAGTAGCTGCTGCTGCCCAGGGCTCATATCCACTCCAGCCCCTTGGGCCACAGTGTCACAGGCCAGACATCCTGAAATGAAGTGAGGATTCAGGTCCCAGGGTCCTCAAGGGAACTGGGACCAGGGAGGACAATTGATGGTTACAGGAGGCTCCTGGGCTGGGAGGTTGGAGTCACTGTGCTCCAAGAACTGGTTAAATGTAAACGCTTAATGTTTGAACTTGATATGGTGACCTAGGGGAGGGACAGGCTACAGATAGACCAAATCCAGAACCATCCAGCCCGGCCCCCAAACCCTCTCCACCCACTCCAGACTTGGGCCTCCTGAACCTCCAGCAGGGCATTGTACCATGCCTGCTGCTCCACCCCACTGGTTGCCACTGACCAGGCTGCCATCTAGTTTGTAGAGGATAGTCAGGTGGCACTACTGTGCATCCACGTGCTTGCTGATGGTGCACACACCCGCCAGGATCATGCTGAGCGTGAGCAAGGCTCCACATGTGAGAAACTTCTCATTCTGATAACACACCAGGTGTGGCGGGTCTGTACAGAGCACTAAGCAGCAGCGGCTCTGGCTCTTTAGCTTTCTCAGGTGGCCACAGAGCTACTGCGGACCCAGGCCTATATCTGCCAACTCAGGGACTCTGGTGTGGCTCTGCAGGGTCACCACCTCTGGGATTCACGGGCAATAAAGTGGCAGGAGGGGCTGAGAGGGCTGAGGAAAGGCCAGAAGTAGGGTAGAGATGGTTGTCACCCAACTTGATGCCCAGAGTCTCTGTCCTGCTCTACTGAAGGGGGGCTGCAGTGGCTCCTCCCTGCATGCAGCGTGTGCCCCAATGGCTGCTTGGCGACCAGGACACACTGGTCTTCACTAGCCTCCGATCACTGGGATCCCTCTGCCTCCCCTACCCACCCTCTCTCTGCCAACAGCTCCAGACTCCCCCACCCTCACCTCTCGATATCCTCACTTGCCTGGTGCTGGAGACCCGACAGGTGATAGAAGTAAAGTTTGAGTTGAGAAGTCTAGAAGTGGCCTCCACCCTACCCACTTGGACTAGGCTTTGGCAGGGGTGGCGAGTGAGCATGGGGGCCTCTCCATTGCTTTGAGCTGACTGCCAGGACAGTGACCATGTGAGGCGAACGTGGATGGAATTGTGCCTGAAGTGATCCAGTCTGATGGCATCCGCACTCCTGGATCACCGGGGCGACTGAGCCAGGCCACCCTCTTCTGCCTCCTGCTACCCCCCACTTGGGTTCTAGGAGTCCAGTACCCTTCCTACTCAGGACTGGTTTTCTACTTTTCCTTCCCAAGTAATCCCAGGAGCCATACCACTGAACACCAGGTTGTGCTGACTTCCAAGGAGCTGGAGGTTGTTTTCCTGTGGTTTGGGGGTGATAGGAGGTATCTTGGTGTAAGTAAACTTGTGGATTAGCCTCTGTGCACAGCCCATATGCAGCTAAATCCTGGTCAAGAGATCAAGGGAAGAGATCCTATGGAGGAAAAGGCCATTTTTCAAGGGCATTTCCATCATGTTGCCCGATTACCCTCAGCCCCTTTTCACCACCACCAGCCCAAATATGCCACATGCACCAGCCAAAGGCTCTCATCCCAGCACAGTTTCTCTCGTTGGGGGTATCCTTTGCCCCTTGCTTCCTGAGAGGTTTGAGATGGAGTTAGGATTCAGACATTTTTATGCCCCACTCAGGATCTTCCATGGACCAACTATCTTGGGGGGAAGATGACACTGGTCAGTGTACACTCTACAAGACAAACCAGCAGGTGACATGGATGGGGGCTTTAGAGGACTCCATGATATCACTGTTGTGGCAAGTAAGATATACAGGGGAGCTGAGGGTGGGGGAGGGGAATAGGGCAATATGTGGCCCTCATTAAAGATGGTGTTTGGGGAGGAGCACAATCAGGTAAAGAATGGGATGTAACAAGAATGGGATGAGGCAAGGGAACCTGATTCTTTTTCTGACTAGTCCAGGGGCCAGGGGAACCTGAGCAAGGAGGGCAGAGCTTCTCTTCTTCCCAGGCCTGGAAGGAAGGGGCTAGAATACTGGAGGAGCCAAAGGTGCAGTGTGAGTGAAAGCTAGCTAGTATCTTCAAACACCGTTTCAAGGGTGATGCTGAGAATAGGAGGTAGGAGCCAACCAGCTTTCTGAGGGCAGGAATCCAGCTAGCCGGTGGGCAGTGCCCAGGCCCACCTCCAGGTGCCTGCCCGCCCCCTCCAGCCCCCATCAGCCAAAGATCCACCAAGGTGCAAGAGAGGTGCTGCCAGCTCTGATGGTATACCGGGGACAGTAGCAGGTTCCCGTCTGTAGGTGTTGGTCAGGGAGAGGCAGGTATGTGGATCTGTAAGTAGCACCAAAACAATGTTCAAGGCCATAGCCCCCAGTGTGGCCTCATCTATGTACCATATGCCAATGTGTAAAAGTGACAGGGACACAGAAAGCTATCTGCAGACCCATCCCCTTCCTAGTCTGGGTGCTGCCTTGAAGAGCAGGGCCCCCACAGGGCCCCCACATACCTGCTGTGCCCCTGGCCTGGAGCCTTACTCCCCAGGTTTGATTTGAAGCTACTCACAGGAGGGTCTTGTCATACCTACTCCTGTCCACTGCCTGTCACCCAGGCTACCTTGCAGCACCCCAGTCCTGTGAAATCACAGCTGCTGTCACAGAGAGCAGCTCCAGATCACCTTGTGTTATGGAACCCCAAAGTTCTGGGCAAGGATAAAGCAGGAAGCAGCAAGGATCCTAGTGCCTGGGTTCTGGGCAAGTAGCAGTGGTAGATGGGTTGATAATCAATGCAGGTGATTTAGCCTGCTGGGCACCAAAAAAAGCCTGGAGAGACAAACAACTGGCCTAATCACTGTTGCCCTAGCAACACTGCCCTTGTCCTAACCCAGACAAGATTTATTCTAGCTTGTTGCCCTGGTAACTTGAGTTGCTCCCCAGGGACAGGAAGTGGCAGAACCTCAGCTCTGCATGGTGAGAACAGTTCTCTCAACCAGAAGGGTCCACCTGTGCCCCGGTGAAGGGCAGCCATAAGGTGGTGGAGTGGGATCACCACATTTTAAGTCCCTGCAGAAATATCTTGTTACCCAGGAGAAGAATCTAGGAGGAGG